CATGACCAAGTGAAGGAATCTTCACATTGACACTCAGGTCCTCCGGTAGAGTTTTGGGTGCAGGCTGGAAAGAAATGAACATGTCACCATAAACCAATTTATGTACTCAAACATTCGCATCAATTAAATGGATGACTTTAAAACCAAACCTCACACCTGTGATGAAATTTACGCCTGTTAGCAATAAATCATCCGTGACGTTGAACGGTAAGGTGACATTTTCCACTGCATCCCTCAGTAGATTAGTGAACTCTTTTGGCACAGAGTCATTTGGAGCGTCCACTAAGATGATCAGTTCTATTGTTGAGCAATTTACTGTCGAACAATTTGGTAAGCTTGTTTCACTCGTGGCTGGAACAGACATACAATTATTATACTTCCAGTCACGATAAGACATCAGATTGTTTCAGTGCATGCTTAATAAACCACATTAGGTGCCTACTAATACCAACAAAACTTGTCTCACCAATTCTTTTCTCCCTGACATGTTTCTGGGATTGATGTCTGTATTTTCCATCCTGGAAAACATCAAAACACGGTTGACTCACATAAAGCGTGAATTAGTAGTCATGTAGAGGTTGAAAAAGAGTGCCATTCATCCAGGTCATTTTCATTTTCACGGCACTGCTCGATCGTATCTGAACTGTTTTTGTTGTCTAAGAACACATTTCTTATGCAAGCCCGCGTCATCCGTTTCTAGAACCAGATTTGGTTTGGACTGTGCCAGCCTGAGTTGTCCCAGCCTAGCAGGCATTTTGGAATGCACAACGACAGCCGTTAAAATGCCTCGCAGAGAGGCCTCTGTCTGTCAACAAGAGCCATTGGGTGGAAACTCCAACATTAATATTCCATTCTGTTGTAAAAAAGGTTGTGGAGCTGCTATAACAAGTCAAAAGGGAATGTTTCTATTGTAGAACGGGACCACAGTCTCTTTTGACTTGTTCAGACTGTGTTTTTGTAGACTGAACAGAACAGTTCAGTTGCATTCGATTCAGTGTCAGTGTCCTGAGAATGGGAACCGATATATATATAGATATATATATATATATATATATATCTATATATCTATCTATATATAGATATATATATCTATATCTATCTATATAATCTGATGATAAATTGGATCCATCTAGCGAGGTGAGGAGAGTGATCACCATGTTTTTTATATATATATCTATATATATATAGATATATATAGATATATATACACACACACACACACACACACGCACACACATATATATTTATTTTTTTTATTCTAAATGCTGTTCATAAACATTTGTCAAAAAATACTGTAATCTAACTTCCAATAATACAGGCACAGCAATTACCGTTCCAACACAAGCATGGCTACTGCCTTGCTATTCACCAGATTTTTTTGAGAGGTAAAAAAAAAAAAAAATCATAACTGGGGGGTTCTCTCTGTCACTTCAAAGCCCTCATTCTATCAATATAGCCTTTTATCATTGATGAATCATTTCTAATTGGCTCTATTGCAGTAAATTCTTACTTGTGTAAACAATTCCGAAGGTTGAGTGTCACCCTTAGTCTCCCAATAGATGTTTGCAGCCAGAACGAGGAGAATGATGAATCTGGCTGCCTTTGGTAGGATCATCTCAGCTGTCGAGAAAAATTCAAATCAAGATCGTGGTTTGGCTGTGTTCGTAGATCAACTTCCACATCTCTTCGCGTGTGGATTCAAGTTTGCTCCCATTTTTGCACCTGCAAACCTTTCTAAATTTCGCCCACACAATCATTCAATCAGTCAATCAAACTTTATTTTTTTCGCACTTTTCATACATAAAAATGCAACTCAGAGTGCTGTACAATGCTTGAAAACATTTTGAACTGACATTAAAATAGAAGTGTGTGTGTGTGTGTGTGTACCTTTCTAAATTTCGCCCACACAATCATTCAATCAGTCAATCAAACTTTATTTTTTTCGCACTTTTCATACATAAAAATGCAACTCAGAGTGCTGTACAATGCTTGAAAACATTTTGAACTGACATTAAAATAGAAGTGTGTGTGTGTGTGTGTGTGTGCGTGTGTGTGTGTGTGTGTATGTGTGTATATATATATATATATATATACTGTATATAGATATATATCTCTCTCTCTCTCTCTCTCTCTCTCTCTCTCTCTCTCTCTCTCTC